TTTTTTTTTTTTTTTTTTTTTTTTTTTTTTTTTTGGTAAAATCACAGTAATTTGCTGCAGTCCACAGAGCAGACATCGCCTTGGTCAGTGCAAGTAACAGCCACACATTAAACTTTTCACCTCAGTGTTTCCTTCTGGTTAATAAATTATTTGGTATTCATTTAGCAAGGTCTGCTGGGCTTCATCTTCTAACTCTGACAGTGCACTTTAGGAACCATTGAGATCTCTCAGGATGTTTCTTTAGCATATTGTAGTTCATAGAACTGAGAGATTGTGCATCGTTGGAAAAGAAGAAGGGTATTTTAGCTCAAACTAACAATTGATCTGCTAATTTGAATATTCACAATATTTCTGTATTGCACATGCTGAACTTTCCATATGTCGTAAGAGGAATGCTTCCATATCCCAGCAGCTATTAGGGTTCTGTTCCCTGCTGCCATGGGTGAGGCTCATCCTTTCATCTGGCCAAGTTCCGTGTTTCTTCGTAGCCAGCTCTCCAACCCTGAACAGAGCCCTTCCCAATTCTGTGGTGATGGATGGTCCCTGGTGTGCTCCTGGTCTCTGTTACGACTTGTGGTGTGTGACACAGCAGGGACAAGTGGTGGGACAGAACTGAAAAACCCACACTCTTTTAGTATACAGTGCTATCCGCCCTTAATTATAGAACAGACCTCTATTGCTCTGTGGGGACTCCTGGCTAATTAAAACTGAAATAGTTTGATAAGTCTGTCTCGGCATATATCCCTGATACTGTGCTGTTTATTCATGTCAGGTATTTGTAAGACAGTTGACATTTTCTTCCTTAAAGCTCTCTCAAGTAAATTACAGGCGTTTTACTGCTATGACCTTTTCCCTTACATGAACAACTTCTGTTTTGACCATTTTTTGTGTGAATATAATACTAAAACCGATGTAATTGGAGACATACAGTTTTTCTCTTCTGTATAGCTGGGCTATTACCTGTAACGATTCTCTAATACTGGTACTTGTAAGTGATTATCGCTTACCAAACTACTTTAAATTTAAAGAAGAAAGCCAGACTGTTTCACTAAATGGTTGCGGTGAATCACCTTTTCCCTTCTTCTCCCTGAATACTACATTTGCTTTCCTAACACATTCATTTTGTGTCTGAGTCCCAGGGAAATGGCTTGCTCTATTAATACATTTCTGGAGTTTTCTTGTTATGAATAGCCTTTTATGGCTTTAATGTAGTTTTTGAAAATTCCTCCATTATTGATCTAGATATTATCCCAGCAGGAGTCAAAACCACAAGACAATTGTGTGAGGATGATTTCTTACTACAGTAGCATTTTATTCTGAAAGCCTGCTGTGTGGTGTGTGCTTTGATGGATGACCCACTGTTTAAAATGTGTATTAGACGTTGGCTTGCTAATTAAATGCCTTAAGGAGCGCCTGTACCCATTCACTCTCAGTAAATTTGTATATGTGGAATTTCCGTTGTCTTATTTCTTGCATTGCTCTGTTTACTTGTTTCTGTTTTTTGACACCGTAGAGAAAATGGGAGTAATGGCAAAAAAATGGCTTTCTGCTTTCACTAGAGCTTCAGCTCAGGGCAGAGGGGAGAGGATGAGAGCTCTTGGTTTCAGGACTAGGTCTGCCAGACGGGGGATGAGGATAAGAAGAGGCGGTCTGCGCACTGTAGAAGGGAGTGAGAAGAGCACTCATCTGACACTGAGAGATCGGAATTCAGATCCCTCATTCTCCCGAAGGACCATCTCTACATCTCAGAGCTGCACCGTGATTATAAAACTGTGAGGTGCTCTCAGACTGCTCTGTTGAAGTGCCCATGCTTGAGGCGTTTTGCTGGGAGGGAGCAGGTGAGACCCTTCATGGGCAGATGGAAAGGAACAAGTTCTCCTAGTTATTAATGGAAAGAGCAGCCAAGAAGGGAGACGAGGGCTTCTGCCCACCTCCAAGAAATGGTTCCAGAGTCATTATTTTCCATTCTGTTTGTTTGTTTTGTTTTTGTGGGGCTGATATGAATCACTAACAGTATATTTGTTCTGAGGGCCAAGCATTGAATTTGTACTCATAAGGGTTTGGACTTTTTGTTCCAGACAGTGGGATGTGGAGAGAATGAAAATGTTGGTTAATCTAAACCAAAACAGAGTAATTGTTTTCTATTTAATGCGGTAGTTATTACTATTATTTAAAGATTTGAGTTGGAGGACAAATTTGGAAAAAATATTGTTCATGAGAACAAACATTTAAATTCCAAGTATTTTTGAATCTGTTCCAATTACTTTCATCATCTGTCTGGAAGTGCAGCTTTTTCCCATTCACTGTAACTGCTCCTAGCTTACTTGAAAGCAATAGAGGCAGAACCTGGCTCTTTGTGTTTGTAAAGCAAGGCTTGGCATCACGTTCGTTGGAAGGAGAAAGGTTTTCTTCTGCAAGTGTTTGCAGAACACATTCAAGGCCAAATCACAATGTTATTTTCATCTGTGTTCCTGCCCGTGTCATTACCTGTGTCACTCCACACAGAGTGCTCTCCTTGATGTCTTGGAATAAAGTGCTCTGTGTTCAAAACAGAGGTTTTGATGGCACAGAGGAGGAACCTGTTGTGATTTGCACAAAATGAGACCGTTTTGTTCTCATTTATAAACTTTCCTTTAGACCATAAAGTAAATGTTAAAGACCAGATGAATTAAAACTAACAAAAGTAGGCAAGGAAGTTAGGGAATGCATCTCCTAAGCTCTCAGGGATGAGCAATGGGGTCGTGGTGGTACTTTTACCTCTGCAAAACTCCTTTTCTTACCAGCACCATCCCCTTAGCCGTGCTGGCTTCTGCCTTTTCCTCTTCCTCCTGAGTGAAAGGATGTTGCTGATACCTGTTCCTGCCTATCCTGTGCTGTCATTTGTCCAATCTGTGTTTTCATGTAAGCTAGGGGGCCACAAAGCAGCACCAAGGCACTAGAACACCCAAGGCAGTCCTTTGATTGCGTTTTGTGATTAACCCCTTCAAGAAAAAGAAGCTGGTTTCTCTGTTCAGGATGTGGAGAGTGAGGAACGGCCATGTCTGCACCATCAAAGCTGATACGTACCAGATTTATTGCTAGTGCTGTGCTGCAGTGCTCCTAAGGGAAGCTGCCTCTGCCATGCAGTGGCACGGACAAAAGAAAAAAATAATAAGAGAGAGATGTTTTGGGAGAGAGAGGGCAAGGAATTCATTCTAATCCCTCTGAAATTGTTTTCTTACTGAAAATTGTTAGATCTGGATGGACTAAGCCAACTGAGTTACCAAGACAACCTGTCCTGTCATGGAAATGACCATATATCTGTTGATTCAAGAACAACGGAGTGCATGAGTGCTGGGAAGCATTCAGGGCCTAGGATGGAGTCCAGCACTGCTGATGGCTTCAGCCAGCAAGCCGCAGAAGGATGTTTGGAATTGGAGGCAGCATTTAACAACCAGGGATTTGAAGGAAATGATGCTACTGACAGCTCATCAGCTTGGAGCCCTGAGGTACAGTGAACTGTCATTTATTACATATGATGTAAGATTTTGAATGGTACTGGTGGTTTCTATAATTTGGACAGCATCTGGAAAGCTGGAGGCAACTGGCGGGGTGTCTGGGACTTGCTAAAGTGACCATCATTGTGGTCCCCATTGAAAATGGGCATCTTTCCAAGGTAAGAGGGGGCACAAGGGTAGAGAGCTCTTTGGCTTTCCCTTAGTTCTACTCCTTTGTTTTGAAGCCTCAGGAAAACATTAGAATTTAAGACATTGCGAATGTCTGATGACTTAGCAACCTCCTTGGCTCTCACATTCTTCCTGCGTGATGTGTTTGATTTTCTTATTATTTTACCACAAGATTAAATTTCTGGAAAAATATCAGCCTGCATCAGACTTATTGAAAGAACAGCACAAAGGTCACGTCTTCTCCCCGAGTTAAAGGAGACTGCTCTTCAGCTGTGGAAATTAATGCTTCCACACTTGGAGCAACAAGGCTTTAAGAAAAGGGTTCCTTTCCTCAGAGCATGCAACTGGTTAAAGAGATGGAGAGCCACTCCTCAGCTCCCAAGCTCCAGCCTTAAAGGACATTTTGAATAGCATTTTGGTTTGCTGCACAACCAGTCCCACAGAGTACTATACCACGCACAGGAACTCTGAGCTGCGGCAGCTTTGACCTCTCTTCGCTGTGTGCCTGACATGCTGTGTTTGTCTGCTCATCTGAGGCTCATTTCTCCTTTGCATTTGACAAATATTCCCTTGGTACATGTCTGTCGCAGTGTCTCAAATGTCCTCCACTTGAATTTCTTTGGAATACATCTCTTGATTTACTCCTGGTATGTAGATTTTAAAAATGCAAACAGTGATTATAGCATCAGGGGGCACATATCCCCAAGTCCCAGTTTATCTTCTGTGAGCAGCTTCTCATCCAAAGGTATTGTGTGGATTAATGAAAGACTTTTTATTGCAGGAACTAAATGTTCTGACATGCCAGAAATGTTCAAGTGCTATTATGCTCCATTCAAAGCACCTCTCTTTAGAGACAAAAATGATAATTTTATGCCCCTACAGTGGAACCACAAGTACCATTTCAAGCCTCGTCCATAATTAGCTGCTCTCACAGGTTTCCCTAGCAGAAATGGACTTCTTTTACTTAGTGAAATGGATGTTGGCTCTGTCCTGAGTGACTGGGTTACACATACAGTATAACTGGGTTGGCATCACAACAACAGTGCTGGGAGGAGGGAAAAAATAAATTCAGGTGAGGTTCTACACTCCTTGGATTCCAGTTTAACCATTTGTGTAGCCAGTACATTCACAAAACACTCCCGGCCCTAAGCAGAGTTCCAGAAGCCAGTGGCTGTTTTGTTAAGACTTCTGCAGAAAGAAGATTAAGCATCTGAAAGCTTTGTGGGCTGAAAACCCACAGTGAGTGCCAGATAGCACAGATCTCTCTGAAGGCATCAGCCCAAGTGCCACAGTTTGGCATTTCTCTTTTCCTCCCTTCCTCCAATGTAAGCAGTTTTCTTTGCAGTGGATATGGCCACAGCTATTGTAATAGATTCAAGATTTCATAGAATCATAGAGTATCCTGAGTTGGAAGGGACCCATAAGGGCCATCAAGTCCAACTCCTGGCTCCATGCAGCAGGATCACCTCAAATCCAAACCCTGTGTCTGAGTGTGTTGCCCAGATGCTTCTCGAGCTCCAGCAGCTTGAGGCCATGTCCGTTGCCCTGGGAAGCCTGTGCCATGCCCAGTCACCTTCTGGTATGCAATCTGAACCCCCTTGATATCCAGATCCTTTTTAACCATTCTGTGTAAGACTGAATACCTGACCTACAGTCTGCTTTTCAGGCAGCCAGAAGATGGGACACTCAGCCGGGTTGGGGCAGGAAAGTATCTCTTGGCTTTTTCTACCTGTGGGCTTATGATGATGCATGGGTATTCACATCTTCTGCTCAGCCATGTAGATGAAAGCATTTATGCTGCAAGTATAGTTTTCTCTACACTTTGGTAGCAGTTCTCAATTGTGTCTTGATTCCATCTCCTTAACAGCAAATGCACAGATGAAAGTGAGGAGGGATGAACTTGCAAAGAGAAAAGTGAATCAAGTGCAGTTCCATTACATTTCCTTCTTAAATATTATTTCAACAAACAGACAGAAGTAACTTTGACAGCTACATAGCAGCACTTACATCTGCATAACATCACATTCTCTCCTGGCAACCTGGCCTGCCTTGTGTTTTTGCCTTTGAAACCTGCTGCTCATACGGAAAGGCATGTTTACGGGCAAGCAAGTCATTCTGTGTACTGACCAAGAGATGACACTTCTCTCTTTGGCATTGCTATTGCAAGATGTATGACAGCAGATCTCCATCATTGTACAGAAATGGACTTCTGAATCCAGATCTGTGAATCTCTCAAACACCGATACAAATATGAGAAGCTGGAGCTCTGAACATCATGGCAGATGAACCTGAACACTTGAAAAGGAGACTAACAGGAAGTAGATGTCAATTTTGAGATTTGTTTGAGGTCTTGTTTGAGACAGCCTACCCTAGAAACTTCTCAAGGGAATTACATCAGAAGTCTTATGGCCCATCAGCTGTACTCTAAACAATAAGATTCCTATGTTGAGAAGAAGCGTTACTTGAAATGCAATGGAAGATAAATGTTTGAGGAGGAGGGTGACTCAGACTGCTAGTGACAGGCCTTAATTCACCTTCAGGCTATTAACTGGAAATCTTTCCCTAGTACAGTGTATACTCATGTTTAAATACAAATCATTGATCACTATAGCAACCCCTTTATCACTTGAAGCACATTCTAGCTCTGAGATAACGAGCACTTTTGAACAGAAAGGCGCACGCCCACTCATCAAAAGGTAAGGTGAGCATCTGTGTTTTTTATTTTCTTCTATCAAGATGACTCTTGCTTTAAAAGTAGATAAAAGATTGCGCGTGAATTGGTCTGCACACTTTTGTTTTCTGTTTTGAATTTGAATCTGAACATTTTAGTATCCATACTGGACAGAAGGTACAGATGCATCTCTTGGGAGACTTAAAAAATGAATAAAGGATCAATATGTATTTAATCAGAAGGTTTCTCTTGATTATGATTGCTTTAGCTGTGGGAAAAATATTGAGAGATAGAGTAGCATGTAGAAATGGAATTTCCATTCTGCAACAAATTTGGATATTTTGATTTCCCTTTCCATCGAAGTGAACACAATGCTTAAAGGTTTGATTATCCTACAGAACAAAATGCCCAAGAAGTTATCAGGTTTGATTGAAATTTTTTTTTATTTCAGTAATGTAAAATGAATAAATAAGTCCATGTACATACAAGTAATAGGTTGCAACATTTTTAACTAAATGAAACCAGAAGTTTTATTAATGCCTCAAAATAAGTGTGAATGAAATGAAGTAAGAAACCCCAACTTTTGGACTAGTTTTTCCCCTGTGTACAATTTTTTGCTAAATTAGCAGTCTTTTGCTAAACATTTAAATATTGATGAAACTCTTTGTTGGAAATGTTTCAACAAGTGCTGTTGCTTACTAGATTGTATGGGGAATATTACACAGAATCAGGCAATTAACTAGCATTGGCCTCTGAGGAAGAAGTGGGGTCCTTATTTTCCAGAGAAACTGCCTACGTTGCAAGCACAAGTGAGGTCATCAACATTTTTTAAATAGAGTTGGGATCACAGAGGCAGTTGAACTCCAGTGAAGGTTTTTTTTCTTCCTTCTCTTTGCAGGAGGCTGATGAGGTGAACAATGAACCAGCTCATCACAGTGCTCATCAGCCCGTTTGTAAATGCGGTGATCTTGATGTCATTTTCAGTTATAAAGCCTCAAGTCAAAAGCTCGTAGTTACCATCTTGGAGGCCAGGGACATCCCAGACAAAGACCGCAGTGGTGTGAACACTTGGCAAGTGCACACAGTATTGATGCCTAGCAAGAAACAGAGGGGTAAGACAAGTGTTCAGCGAGGACCCATCCCTGTGTTCAAGGATAATATCACCTTTAGTAAGCTGGAGCCACATGAGTTAGGTGGCCATGCTGTCCGTTTCCGCCTCTATGCTGTGCACAAGGTGATTGGAGAGAAGATGATGGGAGAGCAGTTGTTCTACCTGAGCAACATCAGCCAGGAAGGGGAAGTGAAGGTGACGTTGGTCTTGGAGCCAAGGAGCAATTTGACCGTAAGTTTGAGGAAGGAAATCTGGAGTCCATAAAATTGTTCTTTTGGTGAATGGGGATTGGCTGTACTTAATATCTTTAATTCAGGACTGACAGAATGCAAATAGTGGATCTGTCCTGCAATCACTACCACAGTTAGCATTAAGGGAGAGAAGGCAGCATGTCCTTCCTACACAGAGGTGCACATTATTAATAGGCTACACAGAACCTGTAGCTTGAGTCCTGGAATCTCCAAAACTAATTGACTTAATTTCAACAAGAACAGTAGTTCTTGTGCACCATTATGCTGATGGAGCTGTATTACTGCCGATTCGAAGGCTACCTCATTTGGTTTTAACTCCAAGCTTGTGGATCTTTGCACTGAGCAGTTTCCATGTTACCAGAAATACTTACTGATGTTCCTTTGCACGGCAGACTGGAGAGGTAGGTCATGGGAGGAAGAAATGGCTGTGCTGCTTCATAGCCTTCCATGCACATCACAGTTGTATGGCTACGCCAGTCAACTTGTGCAGAGGAGCTCTGACATGATTCACTGCCTACAAGAAGCTCAGTAAGAGGTGCTGCACAGAAAATGAATGAAAGATGATACACTGGGTGAGAAGGGGATAGAGTGTACATTGTGGTTCAAGGAAGGAAATTTAGAAAATATAGTACATGACCAAAAGTAATCCAAACTGTGCAAGGTGCATTTCATCCAAAAGCCATTTTTAAGGAGATTTACTGTGCTTTTAATGCATTGGGATGTATGCTTATCTTGGAGGCTTTGATTTGCACTAGTAATAACATGTTGCACAGAGTTCCTCATCTTTTAAAGAGAAGGTTCAGAGATATGTTTGTGTAAAAGTGATGCTTTCATTCTTTCTGTGCCGTATCGTAATTCATTCTTAGTCACTGCCATTTCATAAGTGTGATCTTACTAAACAAGGCCACAAAATATAAACCAAAGGGAGGGTGGTGGTAAACATTCTGATGAGACTTTCAGTGCTCTTTCCCTGCAGAGTGCAGACTCTCAGCTTAGTCTGTCAGCAATCTCTCACAGTGATAGCGCTTCTTCAACACAGTCCCTGTCGCATGGAGGGGTGCCAGAGCTGCTCGTGGGCTTGTCATACAATGCAACTACGGGGCGGCTGTCAGTGGAGATGATCAAAGGCAGTCATTTCCGAAACCTCGCAATTAATAGGCCACCTGGTAAGTACTTTCACTGCTATTAAATAACACCACGGAGTCAAAATTTGCTTTTTATTTTCTTCCCCTGGATATTCAATTATGTCATTTCCTTACACAGAGTATCTGATTGAAAATTAAAAGCATTGTTTCAAATGTGTGTGCTGGTAAACTTTGCAGTGTAAGTGGATGCAATCATATGAAGACGCAGCTGACAGAACAGTAATATCATAGTGCCTCTTTTATTGCATAGACCTTTACAACATCTGATTATGGCAGAATTGCTGTGACACCCAAAGCACAGGGTAATTCTTAGCAAATTCATACAAAGAAAGGAGCACTTTTCAAGTGATTGTATGTTGCCATGTGATATGCATGTCAGTACAGAAAGGACACTGAAGTGCTGGAGCAGGTCCAAAGAAGGGCAACAAGGCTTGTGACAAACTTGGAGAAGATGCCACATGAGGAGAGACTGAAGGAATTGGGGCTGTTTAGTCTGGGGAAAAGGAGGCTGAGAGGAGACCTTATTGCTCTCTTCGAATACTTGAAAGGTGATTGCAGCAAGAGTGGGGTTGATCTCTTCTCACTGGTGACAGGACAAGGGGAAATGGCCTCAAGTTGTGACAGTATAAGTTTAGGTTGGATATTAGGAAAAACTTCTTTACAGAAAGGGTTGTTAAGCACTGGAATAGGCTCCCCAGGGAGGTGGTTGAGTCACCATCCCTGGATGTGTTTAAAAATGATCTGGATGTGGTGCTCAGGGACATGATTTAGTGGGAGGTTGTTAGTTAGGGTAGTATGGTTAGGTTGTTGTTGGACTTGATGATCATGAAGGTCTTTTCCAACCTGAGCAATTCTATGATTCTCTAATGGTTCTATGCAGAGGCCCTGTTTGGTGCTGTTAGATGGCCCTTTCCAAGGGCTGTACTTTCAGTCTCCTTGCTGTGGGCTGGGCTCTGGGTGACCTGGCTCTTTTGGCCCTTTGGGGATCTTGCCATTCTGAATTCTTCGTAGCCACACAAAAAAGTCTCTTGTAGAAAGAAAAAACAAAGTTTTTCTCCTGTATCTCATCAGTTGAGCTCCCTTCCTCCATAACTCAAAGGAAAAAGTGAAAATTGCATTACAGTAGATTTGGTTAGTGCTGGAGCTGTAGTTAGTACTTTACAAAGTTAGTGGATGGATGGTGCTAATGTCTGTGATACAGATGGGGTCATGCAAACACAGTGGTTTTGGTTTGTGCCTCTCACTCAGGGTTTGAATGGCAGCTCTGTGTTCATCTCATATTGTTCTATTGCCTGCTGGCTGAAACCAGCAGAGAATGGCAATTTGGAGTAGCATTTTTTGTTTGCTGCTGTGTTTGTTTTTTGGGATCTAGTTGTGTGTGTGTCAGAGGTAACAACCTTTGACAGCTTCTTGCACTCACTGCATTTGATGTAGTATCTTCATCTTGCAGAATGCTTAGATTGCTTTTGCAAGATGCTGTGCTGATTGTCCCAGAGCTAGCAAATATTTGTGTAATACTTCAGTTTGCAGACATGAAAGTTTAAGTTTTGACTGAACTGTATCAGTACTTCAGTATACTCCAGAAGTAATCTGACCATGTGGACAGCCAGTCCTTCAAGAATTAAGGGCGAGTCTGTGCAACAGTGAAACACTTGGCCTCAGTCTGTGCAACCCCAGTTAGTTTCATTAGCTGTGACAACATGGTAGATCTCCATGGGATTTACTTGAAGAAATGGTACAGTTTGCATTTGTGTTTTAATAAAAGTTTCAAGTCAGAGTGGTTCTAGCCAATTTAAAGGAAAGGTAGGCTAATTCTACTTTTATTCTTAAATAAAAGTAGTCCCAGTATAGGTCCAAGTTAATTTGCTGTGGTTTTTCTGCTGTATTTTCACACATCTGCCTATGGTCCTCGTCCTTGGACGTGTTCAAGGCCAGGTTGGACGGGGTCCTGGGCAACCTGATCTAAATGTGTATGTTTGGTGGCCCTGCTAGGCAGGGGGGTTGGAACTACATGATCCTTGAGGTCCCTTCCAACCCGGGTGATTCTGTGATTCTGTGATTCTGTGGTCTTGGAGGTTTGTCACATAACTGCCTGAAGGGCAGGATTATGCAGCACTTCTGTTTCTATATCAGGCCCTGCAAAGGTCTTGTATCTAGCTGAGTCAAGAAGCTGTACTGCCCCACACTTTCCCAGCAAATGAAATGCTTGCACTGCAAAGAACTTGAATAATTGGTGTCCAGTTTTCTACCTACAATATAATGATCAAATGACTGGCATTTGTTGGTATTATTCTGAAGAATGTCTTTCCTTATGGGATAACATTGCATGTTGCAGCAAGTTGAGCAACCCTTTAATTCATTGTCTGGGTGCTGGGGAATTGTGTCTGTTCTGGGCCTCTTGGATGGGGTTTGGCAGATAACCGTGTGCACGTAAGTTTGCTATCAGCATGGGTTACCTGCCCTGGTGAGATGTTCCATTCAGCTTTTCAGCTGATGGGCACACAGAAAAACAGTAGGCTGGTTGACAGCATCTTTAAAGCTGATAAGCATTATGTGTATTTATTGATAAGAAGTGAACAGGTCCAGTGAGTGAGGAAAGAAGGCAATCTTTGCAGGAGTTTCTGTTTTAAATTCTGTCTGAATTTTCTGCTTTCTCTGTCTGTGGGGCTTCAGATAAGCCTTGTTAAATCAGTCTGATAAACTAGCCAAAGTCCTCTGTCAGCCACCCAAACTAATATTCCTGACAGTGGAAAAATAACAATTTTTTCCTATCTTTGATATTAAGGCCATCTTGAGTTTGTCCTTTGCATCCGTTCTATACGCAGATCAACTACAGCATTATCAAGCCTGCAGTGTCTCTGTGTTAGGTCTGCTATTAGCTGAAATTCATCAGTTATTACAGAGAGGTTCTGAATCTATCACTATCTGCTCTTACTCAGTGTATTTTTCTGCATTCTGCATTGCACTTCTGTGCCTGCAAAGTGCCCAGCAGCATGATGGATGCGAAGAGGAAGACCCAGTGAAGCAGAAATGGAAAAAAAGCTTAAAAGAAGGAAGAAAGCCAGCTCTTGTCTCACATGCTGGAGTAGCATTTCACTGATAACTCGTGCAGACACTGCAGAGGAGTGCTGTGAGGTCTGATTGTCTGTGTCTGAAACATGCTGCCTGAGTGAGATGCTCAATAGATAGCCCTTGTGTTTTCTCGTATGCATCCTATCTAGAGAATGATTTACTTCTTCAAAGTATCATGGGGTTTTCAGACGTAACAGTGATTCAAGGCATTTAAATACCAAGCTCAAGCTGCTACGGTTGACAGTTATTTATTGTAAGACTGAGAGAGTCTGTGGGCAGAATCCATCTCCGTTTCCACCCCTGCATGCACAGAGCCCATGCAGTACCCTTGTGTGGTCCACTTGTAGCCCAGTGCATTTAGCATTGTCTGCTGCTTACTGCTGCAGCTAATGACAGGAGCATCTTACATTATTGCAAATTCTCCAGTTGTGCTCTTTTCCCACCTGACCCTCTTCTCTGCCACCTGGAGTCTTGCACAGGTGAGCTCAACATTTTCTGCAGTGTGTGTGCATGCTCCCTCGGCATCCTTGCACAGGGGTTTTACTGTGCAGAAGAGGGAGCTGGTGATTCAAGGCGTTACAGACTGCAGAGGTGACAAGTAATTTCTGGAGGGCGAAAGGAGTGCTGGAGTTAGGAGATTGTGCATCTCTCTCCTTTTTTCCTTGGCACATCTTATGGGATGCAGAGGGTTGAACTGAATCAGATATCAAAATCATGGGTGCTTACGTGGGTAATAGCTGGGTTAGGGAACAGCTGGGCAGTTTGCAGGCACTTACATCTTTCAGGCAGTCTTCTCTTCAAATCACATATGTGAAATGTAAGGACAGCTTGGTCAAGGATAAAAATTCAGGCATTATTCTGGGAAACGTGTGGAGCTGCAGGTCTGAGTCCACAGTTCCTAACCATGTGAATACGTCCATTATCACTCTGAGCACTTAAAAGCACTCAGGAGAGTGGTAGCAGCATTGGACTATATGGTAGCAGCACTCCACTGTAAATTGGTAGCATCTGCCAAAAAGCCTCGTGCAGAAAAGCATCTAGAGATTTGTCAAATGTGAGCTGCCCAGGTATTTTAACACTCAGTGACATATGTATCGTTCACCTCATTCTCTTTGGTTCTTGTTCCAGCCATTCACCTGTTTTATCATTTCATAGAGATTTGCATTTTGGTCTTAGAAGACCAAACCCCAGCGTGTTCCTTTAAAGACTATTTATTATAAAGAAAGTAACAAGAGAAGTGTGCAGTGCTGGCAGACACATCTTTAAAAGTCTGTAACTGGTTACAGATTGTTTGCATGTTACAGTAGTAATATGGGATTGTAGTGATCATAGGGGTCATTAGTCAGTGTATAAACACACAGTGGAGAGATGGTCTCTCCCCACATGGTGCTTAACCTTCATCAGCTGCTCTGGGTGCAGCTCTCTTTCCTCTAATCCAGCCTTTGCTTTTTCCTCTTTCACTTTTATGTTGGGGTTTATGTCTGTATGTAATGCGATTTGAGAAGGGCTATTGTAAAAAGATATTCCCTTGTCTAAGAATAGTCCTCCAAGCTTTTTGGCAACTGCAGAATTAATCACACATAATAATTACATTCATACATGATCATTATTATATCAGTAGCATATTAACCCCATTAAGCAAGTACAATAACACTTAACTCTGGGGAAGACAGGAAGGAGAAAGAACAAGCTATGAAATTTCTATTGGGAAGAGGAGAAATTCTTGAAGTGAAAATCTATGTGTGCCTGAGTTCCAGATAAAAACACCAAGGAATACAGAAGATGCTCTGGTAGGAGAATTAGAGTCCTTAGGTGGTATTTCTTGGTCAGATACCAGAGAACTTGAAAGATATTAGTGGTTTTTTTTTTTAATCAACTTATTTGTGAAGAAAGTTATTATCCCAGAGGACTAAGGCAGGTTAATTTCTTTAATTGATGTGACTAAAACC